CTTCTGTTTGAAGTAATGCAGCAGGTTGCACTTAGGTGCCATTAGGGTGGCCGGGTGATGCTAGACTTAGTTGTTAGGTACATTTATGTAATTGAGTAGTAATTTCATGATCTTAATAAAGTACTAGCATGACTGCCTATATAAAAAAAAAAAAAAAAAAAAAAGAATGTCTATATATATAGTAATATAGTAATACAGATGTAATATAATAACTTTCATATATTAATTTGATATTAATTAAATAAAGTACTTATGATTTGACATTATAAAAAAATATATATAAAATAAAAAATAAATTAAGTATATTCTTATAACTATAAAGAATATTTTTATAAAATTTTAGAATTATTTGTTTGATTTAATTTTTTATAGTTAGTAATTATTTTTTAAGGTTTGGGATTTGTCCTAATTTGGCCAGCATGTATTGTAATGATGGGCCAAAAAAATTTTTTTTGAAAAAAACTTAATTTTTGCACAATATTAACAAACTACAAAAAAATTTTTTTTAATTCATTGTCACCTTTTGCTACGGGTCCCCCCATATATTGAAGATAGCTATATTTATAATTGTTGTACCAAATTTTTATAAATAAAACTTCTAATAAGTGGCTAACGTAACTGCCAAAGTAAAAAAAAAACTATAAAACCATTTTTAAAAAAATTATCATATATATACTATTACTTCATAGGTAAATTACCCAGTATATTAACAAAAATCAGGAATATTAAACTAATTTTATTGTTATACGTAGGTACGTATACGTATAACCACACTTGTTCCTTAACATATATCTGATATAGAGCATTACGTATACGTACAAATAATAATTATATATACGTATAACTGTACGTATTGGTATACACAATTTTTTAAGCAAATTTGTTTAAAATATACGTAGATTAAAAAAAATTTTTTTATTGGCTAAAACATGTTACACTACAAGTAAAAAATTGGCCATTTTTCCTTTTTTAAATTATACCAATTTTGAAATTTAATATTACAACGGTAATCGTAATATTATCGTTATCTTTTAAAAAAAAATTAATTAATTTGAGGCAAGTACGTACGTACGGTGCACACCAACATTGTAAATTTAACTATATTAAGATACATTAACTTGAAGGTTATAAAAATTCGATATATTTGTTTAAAGTATTTTTAAAACTTTTACTTAAAATTTTGAACATTACCGTTACGCGAATTTGTCATTTTGTGTTATACTCACCTGAACATTCGTCCAACAAATTTTACAGAACCATATGATAAAAAAGTTCTAACAATAAACACGAGGCCTTTAATGAGTTCCGTTACATTTATTGTTGCACTACATAAAATCACACAATCATTTTACTTTGAAATTCATGTCACGAGGTTTTGGAAATCGCTCCTGAAAAAATTCGCTAGGAGAACAATTATTTTCAATGCATAACGATAAATACGAAGCAATACATTTAATAAATATAGTAAGTGTTAATCGAGTCAAGCTTGAAACAGTTACACGAAAACCGTATTTGAAAGTGGCGCGGTTAATTAAGGTATAATAACTTCGTTGATTGGCCGATCAGCTATAAGTTTAAGTCATGGACCCCGGGTTTGTTTACACAGCGGATTTACTCGTTGCAATCTTTGAAGTTATCTGTTACCGAGGTTGACTTCAGAATCGTTTGCCGTTTTTAGTCCATCGTTCTTTCAGATTACATAACTCAACAACCTTGAGACTTTATTTTTTGATCAAATTTATGTTATAATGGACCCTTCGCTTCCAACGGTGACAAGTCGTCGACTTTCGCCCTCTCAAGGTCGAGGTCAGGTAAACTCACGAATACCATCACCGTTTACCAAAGTTAAATCAATAGCACAGCAATCGCCTGAAGAAGAAGAGGAGGAGGAAAATCAGCCGAATTCCTCGCCAAATCGACGTTCAAACTTAAACGCGTATGGTGTTCCATCAAGGCATCCATCAAGGAATAATTCTTATTCACAACCCGCAAAGCAAAACGTTCCTAGTAATTTAAATGACAAAATAAGAGTATGTGTTCGTAAGCGTCCACTCAGCAAGAAAGAGCTCACTAGGAACGAGAAAGATATTGCTTCCGTCAGTGGCCAAAGGACTGTTCTAATAAACGAGCCAAAGTGAGCTTTATTGCCTCATATGTTTCGTTATAATTTGACACTCAAAGTCTTTCGACTCGTTATTATCTATCACTAGCCTGCCGGGAATGATTCACGTAATTTGCTTAATTCCATCCAATTAGAATGAAAGTCGATCTGACCAAGTATGTAGAACAACACACGTTCTTTTTTGATGACGTGTTTGACGCCGAAGCCACCAATGAAGAGGTATTTTAATTTAAGTCTTTTTACCATTCTTAGTATTCAATTGAACGACTTTGCTCATTATTTTAGGTGTATAAACGGACGGCTCTGCCATTAGTGGAGTACATTTTCCGTGGTGGTAAAGCCACATGTTTCGCATAGTATCCTTTGAAAATCTTGGACGGGCTATCAATGTGATTTGTAAAACATTATTATTATTCATTATAATATCCTTCATTCCAAATCTCCTTGACATCTTTTTTTCCCTAAAATAGTGGTCAAACAGGTACGAACAAATTACTAATTTGATTAAAGTTTGATTGTTAATATGTTAATATAACTCAATCCTTTTTTTGTATATTTCAATTTTAATAGGAAGTGGCAAAACTTATACTATGCTTGATGATAAACAAGGTAATCTCAATTTTGAATATATAAAATTTCAGATGATTTAAAAATATTTTAACATCATAGTTTTTGTAATTATTAGGACTTTATGTTCTGGCTGCTCGAGATATTTTTGACTTATTACAACGGCCGGAATATAGCCATTTAGCATCATATATAGGGTTCTACGAAATTTATCAAGGGCAATTATATGATCTGTTGAATCAACGAAAAAAGTTGTTTGCCCGGGAAGATGGAAAGAAAAATGTCGTAATCGCAGGACTTCAAGAATATTCCATCGATAATGTAGATAATCTTATGCAAGTATTTGATTATGGAAATACAGTACGAAGCACAGGTAAAATAAAGTAAAATAATAGAACATTTTAAACTTTTATGTTAATATATTTTATCAATCATTTAGGCAGCACTGGCGCAAACGAAGATTCTTCTAGATCCCATGCTATTCTACAAATAGTACTAAAACATAAAAAGAATAGGAAAAAGTTTCATGGTATTAACATTTATATTTTTAATCTAATTTGTTTTCCTCATTATATCCTCATTATATATTATATTTCATAAAATTTATTTTATTAGGCAAGCTTAGTTTTATTGATTTGGCTGGTAGTGAACGTGGTGCTGACAGAGGAGATGCAGATAAGCAAACGAGGTATTTTCTTATAATTTCAACCGGAATAAATTTATATATTTATATTTAAATATTTATTATAGAATGGAAGGTGCAGAAATCAATAAGAGTTTGTTAGCTTTGAAAGAATGTATTCGTGCTCTTGATCAAGATAAAAGACACACTCCATTTCGTCAAAGTAAATTAACCCAGGTTTGTCGTAGTGCTTAATCATCACTTTAACTAATTTTGAATAGATTATATATAGCCGAGTTGTTGAATTATTACTGATATAGGTGCTGAAGGACTCGTTCGTTGGAAATTCACGAACTTGCATGATTGCTACAATATCTCCAAATATTTCAAATAGTGAGCACACTCTTAATACATTAAGATATGCAGATAGGTATGTCAACTTTTATTATTTTCCGACAATTCCATTTAATAATATACTTGTTTAAATATCATATTGGTTAATTGGAAATTAGGGTTAAGGAACTCAAATCGGAACGGGATCGTGCTGACCGCGTTGCTGCCGGTCTTGAACTAGCAGCAAATGAACTTCGTGAACTAACAGATGAACAACGACAAGAATATTATAATAAGGCGCAAGAGAAGATGGCCGCAGAAGGTGGTGACTGTTACGAGGCGTATGGTTACGATGACGATGAGGAGGATCCGGTGTTTGATGAAGATGAAGACTCTGATTTATATGATGAATTTCCAAGTGATGAAGAGCATGACATATTTGGGCAAGAGCTGCCTTCAGATGGTTTTGACGATGAGGCAGATTTCATCGACGATGACCAGCACACAATTTCTAATTCTGAGGCCTCAGGTTTAAAAATCAATGAATCACCAGACTCTCTTAGATCTACATCAAGTATCCCTTCTCATTTGAAACCATTACCGTCCTCATATCCAACTTCTCCAGATTTAAATCCGCCAATTCATTTTCAAAGATCATCTGGTGATAATTCATCAACTTTTACAACCCAAGAAATAGAAGATTTTTTGAGGCGACATCGCTCAGCGCTTAGAGAGGTCAGCGATACGGGAAAACAAGAAACAAAACTCTTGGCTAATTTCACGCTAAAAATGAACTCTATTGATGATATGGATGGGTCACCAGAGATTACCGTTAATGCGTTTGAACAGTATCTCGATGAATTAGATGCACTTTTAGAATCAAAGGAACAAGTTATTGCTGAATTGAGACGCAAAATCTCTCAACTCTGGCGAAAAACATAGGTTTATTTTTAAGTAATTAGTAGTGATTGTAATCGATTAAAAATTTATAAGCTTAGTTGAGTCGATAATTTTGATACGACTAAGCCGGCTCAGTTGGCTATTATCTGCCAGTACTATTTTAAATTTTTGAATTACAGCGCAGGCAACCTAGTTCCGTTCAATAAACTTGACTAAGTTCAATGGTTAATCCTTAATAATAAAAAAACAATAAATTCGAAATCTCTTTATAAAGTATTAAAGCTAAACATCATGGATTTAAATTTTTGTAGCCTATTATTAATATAGTAGCAAATCAAAATTAAATAAGCTATTTGGCCATTTTAAACTATATATATTGAACATATAAAAATTAAAATTTTGGTTTTATAGCTATAAAAATATATAAAGTTTTTAACAGTTATACTTTGTTATATTTTAAAATGCCTAATTCTAATTTTTTTTTGTGTAAATTATTAAAAACATATACGTAGTGTGTGATTTAGTAATAAATTCAATTTTAGAGTAGAAAGCTAAACATTTTTACTTAGCAGTTAATATTAGTATATTGGTCGTCTCATTAAGCGTGATACACCAACTTGATATATTTGAATTAAAATGTAATTACACAAAATTATATATATTAACTTGCAATTAAATAAATATATTTAATATTTGAAGATTTATAGAATATATTTATAAAAAAAAATTAGA